ATCGTAACAATTATCAATCTATAGCAACAATTCAAATATCTATAGAGGTAGCGACAACAGTCAGAGAAAGCAAATACAATACAATAACAATTATTATAATATGAATATTGAAGAAATTATTGAAGAGAAAATCGACTCTACAAAGAACAAAGATGATAACGATTTTATTATTAACAACTTATCTGAGGACATGCTTAGTGATTAAGATAATGCATTTATGACTACTTTAAAAGTAAATGATATTGTTACAAGTATGGAAGTCGACACAGGTTCCAAACATACTATATGGTCTGGTTAAAAAACTTGGTATTAGAGATGTTAAGAAATCCGAGTTACAACTTACCGCTTATGACGGAAATTTAATTAAGATCATCGGCATTACACAAGTTAAAGTGACTTATGAAGGTATCTCAAAATATTTACAAGCGGTACTCGTTGAATCTAGGAAAAATGCTTTGTTGGGACGTACATGGATCAACGCTTTCAAAAATATTTTAAATAAATTTATAGCAAATATTGACACTAATTATGAAGATGAAGTAAAAAGATTGATTAAAGAGTGCGAATCCAAATTGATTAACGGGCCAATCAACAAAGCAAGTGTTAAGTTACATTTAAAAAGAGATGCCCAACCTAAAATTATACCACCTAGACGTATTCCTTATTCAAAAATTGATCTTGTGAGCAATGAACTTAAAAAATGGATACATGATAAAATTATTGAGCCGGTGAATGATGTCCGATGGGCAAGTCCTATTACCGCCGTCTACAAAGATGATGGGAGCATTAGGCTTTGTGCTGATTTTACACTCTAAACCCAGCTCTAGAAGATTTCAGATACCCTCTACCACGAATCAATGATCTAATAGCTAAACTTTCAGAAGGAAAAAATTTTACGAAGATTGACTTTAAAAATGCTTTCTTACAGGTCCCGATTGATGAAAGTTGCAGAAATATTTTAACTATATCCGCACATGGGATATTACCGATTTACTAGACTTCTTGGGCTTAAGACCTCATCTGCAATCTTCCTACAGATCATGGACCAAATCTTCGGTGACATGGAAGACGTCATATTTTATATTGATGATTTACTTATAACTGGGAAAAACGATGAAGCCCACCTTAATAACATAAAAAAAGTGTTTGATAGAATATCATCGTTTGGGCTAGTACCTAACTTCAACAAAAGTGTGTTCTTTAAAAATAAAGTGAGGTTCCTGGGTCATGATATTGACGCCAAGGGGATTCATGCTAATCACGACGAAGCAATAATTAATATGCCAGAACCAAAATTAGCTGCTGAATTATCAACATTTATGGCAATGGCTGGCTACTATAGAAAATTTTTGAACAATTTTGCAGAAATAACCGATCCTCTATATAAAATCGTCAACAAAGAAAAATGGGCTTGGAACTTAGAACACTCTAAAAGTTTTAATGATCTTAAGAAGTTGATTTGTCTTCCTCCTGCTTTGACATATTTTAACCCTGAATTACCTATAGGGATAGCCACTGACGCATCTAAATGTGGTTTAGGAACTGTATTATTTCATACTGAAAAAGACGGTAAAGAAAAACCTATAGCTTTCGCGTCGAGAACTTTATTAAAATCCGAATTGAATTATACCAATAGTGAGCGTGAGGCTCTCGCTATTATGTTCGCTATAAAGAGGTTCCAGGAATACTTAATCGGCACAAAATTTACAATTATTACTGACCATAAACCTCTTGTTCACATCTTTACCAAGAGTCTTAAGGATAATAGTACCATGTCCTTAAGACTCCAGAAGTGGAATATAACATTAGGAGGATATGATTTTAACATAAAGTATAAAGCCGGTAAACATAATGTTGTTCCTATTTGTCTCTCATGATTGCCACAAGAATGTCATGATGAAGTTGTTGAAAAATCACTATAATAAATGACTATGGGGATTTACCTATCAATTTTAATCAAATTTGTGATGAAACTTTGAAAGATATTGAATTATATTAAGAACGACAGGCCTATAAAGAACAATATCTATAAAAACATTGAATTGGAATTAATTATAATTAAGGATTGTCTCTACAAAAGCAACAAAATCATAATTCCGTCTTCTATGAGAAAAAATGTACTACAGTCATTACATGAAGGTCACTTGGGAGCAGGAAAAATCAAACCTTAGCCAAAGATTACATGTGGTGGTCTGGTATAAATAATGACATAGAAATGGAAGTGAAAAGTTGTGACGATTGTAACATATATCATGACAATCCTAAAAAGATACAAAAACCATGGGTTTGGCAACTAAATCGTTTAAAGAATACACATAGATTATGCGGGTCCGTTCCTCACAAGAAATTGGATAATAGTCGATGCCTACAGTAAATTTAATTATTGTTCCTGTTAAAAATATTACGACCGATGTTACTTTAAAAGGAATTTTTAAAATTATCTGAAACTATAGTTACTGATAACGGCACTAACTTCACAAGTAATGATTTTGAAAAATTTTGCAATGATTATGGTATCAAACATGTGTTCACATCTGCTTATCACCAGCAATCCAATGGCCAGGTAGAACGCATTGTGAGCAAAACACATATGAAAAGGAATATCAAAATTGACTTAGACATTGCACTTGACAAATTTTTATTTAATTACAGAGATACGCGTAATGATACTACAGGAGTTACACCTTCTAAGAGAATGTTCAATTGAGATAGAGTTAAATGGGACTTATTAAAACCGTTGGAGGAGAAGGAGAACAAAATAAACGTTACTTTACCACGAAAAGGTACCTTTAACGTTAGGAGATTTTGTTTGGTACAAAGTACAAGGTGATGACAAATGGTGTAAAGGCATGGTCACACACAAAGAAAGTGACATGATGTTTCAAATTAAGACAGATAAAGGTATTTTGAGGAGACACTTAGATCAATTAAGATTAAGAAACTGTTTTAACACACTTATTAATTATGACTCTAAGCATTCTTTTAAAGAGGGAAGTGTGGACAAAAATATAAAAACTATTGATAAAAATAATGTAACACCGATTTCTAGACAAATGCGAATTAAACAAAAACCTGCTTATTTAAAAGACTACATAACTTAAAATATAAAAATAAAGTAAATTAAATATTAAAACGCATAAAGTAAATTAAATATTTAAACGCTTACACTAAAACGCAAAAAATGAAAACGCTAAAAATATTATATAACAATCTTATTGATTTATCATTCTTCATTTATTCTTATATCCAACTTGATGAACTATTATTTCTCATTTTTCGAAACTTACTGATGATAATAACAATTTTGAAAATTGGTAATAATAATGACTGAGCATTACAAGCATGCTACATGACAAATTCACGATTTATAAGGACAACTTACGATAAGGATAACAAGCTTACGATTTAAACAAACCAACGATTGGGACAAGCCAACGATTATTATGACTTATGAAACAACTTGATGGTCAAAACGAAACTAACTAAGACAGCTTAATTGAAATTATGAGAAGGATTCTTTTAGAAGGAGAATGTTGATTAATATAAATCGTAACTTATCGTTATTTTAGTTTTATAAATCGTAACTGTGTTATTCATATTCATATTCTATCTTTATTTTAGTTTTATAAATCGTAACATATATTATTCATATTATACCTTTATTTTAGTTTTACATTCAAATATATTTTCATTTTAGTTTTACTTTAAGTTAACCTTTTTATATTTATTCAAATTTTATTTTTGTAAAAATGTTATATATATGATATGAAAAAGAGAAATAAAACAGATAAAAAAATAATAGTTTTACTTTTCTTCACCTATATAATAGGATTTTTTTTAAACTTTGACCCCGTTATAAATTGTAAATTTATCTGTCAATTAGAGCGCCGCAGGACCAATCCAACTAAACAAAAGTGGGTTGAACTCTATTGATTCTTTAATTTATTTTGAGACTAGGATGTAAACAAAATTTAAATATTTTTGTTTTATACGTATGTTTTTATGAATTCTCATTTTCAAGAATAACCCTAAAATGTGTTATCTTACAGCGCTTATAATTTTTTTCGCTTTAGTCGAAATATCCTACTTTATCAACAATCCAATAAAATTCGGATAGGTCTCGTATCTTTTCAAAAAAATACACATATGAAATCGGGCGGTTTTAAATTTTTTCTTGGATAGGATCGACTTAAAAATAGATCCGATACAGTGCTCTAGTGTGAATGTTATTTCAAAAATTCATACTCAAACACAGTCTTAGACCACCTATTGTAACCAGAGATGAGCCGATATTTTTAATTCTAACTGACACATGGCCGATACTGAAATATAATAAATTAACCTTCATAAATCTAAAAAAAATAAAAATAATATTTGCTATTTTCTAATAAATAAACTATGTTATTTTTGGTATCGGTGGTATTGGCTTAAAAAAGTGATATGTATGTACCCGGTTAATGATGCTTACTACCAAGTGAATGTATGCAAATATTTTAAATACCAATCTAATTTGCTAAATACCGACCAAAATTTATTAAAATGTAATAAGACCTTTATTATTTAATATATTAATATGGAATCATATGATCGAGTCCTGCCTTCTATATATCATCCCCCCAAGGATGGAACCACCAAGTTAGAATAAGAAAAAAAACATGATCATTCCCGGGATTCGAACCCGGGAGCATGGGATCAGTAAGCCAAGCTCTTGCCTACTAGGCCATAGAGGCTTTCCAAAAATCACGATTTTTCAAATATATATTATAAATATATTTGGTAGTGCCTATCCAAATTAAAAATAAACAAAATTCAAATTTGATAGGTAGTACCTTAAGGTAGTAAGCATCATTAACCTATGTACCCCTGCTTATAATAATCGAGTTAAATCAATTTTTTAATTTCGTATTTATTTTTTCTCTTCATAATATATAATTCTAAAATCACTTATAAATACTATTTTTTTTGATTTCTATCACAAATATTCTATACAAACACCGACTAATATTGAAAAATTATCCAAATATATATATTATAATAATAATAATAACTATATAAATACAATCCAAATATAATAATAAATAAATCAACAGAGTAAAAATTGGTTGATTATTGAGCTTTAATACAATAAAAAAGTCCATTGAAATCAATTTTTTTGTGATAATATAATATTTCATATAAGTATTTATTCAAAATGCATAACTACAATGAGTGTTTAAGTGTATAATAAAATAAATATGTTCGAAATAAATTAAGTCACTTACAATTGCAAATATGTGTCGAAAATTGTAAAATCTAATAATGATTAATAATGCAATTAATATTGAATACTAAAATATAACTTCAAAAAATGAAGAATTTGCAAAAATATATGTATTTCAAAAAAAAAAACTTGTATTCCGTGACCCTAATTACCTATCTGTGATCCAACTCGGCGTCTCGAAAAAAATTCTCAATGAATAGGTGACGAACTAAAATCACCAGACCTCGTCTTTAAATGCGCTAAGCGTTGTTTTTCCAAAATCCGTTCATAATATAGGGTAATCAAGGCAAAACATCTCCTTAACGTTTTCTCAAAATCCTTGAAACAATGGAATTTCATGTCGGTAAACGGTATTTCGTATACGTTTGGTACTATACTCTCGACCCTGGATTCGAAATAAGAAAACATAGGAAACCATGTCCTGATACGCTCCCTATCGATTTGCCTGAGCGCTCTGTTGTTAGCCAAAGAATGGTAATACAGAAATAACCTAAGAAAAAAATAGAAACAAATTTAAAATGATGAAAATGTTTTAAAATACTAAATTAAATTATATGCAACCCGCTAATTATACATAGCGTTTCCTCGATTTTAACGTTTTAATTTTCAGATCCTCTGAGAAGCGTCTATAAGCGGATTAGTTATTTTTTATATTGTGCAAATCTAGTGATTGAGTCAATCAATTAATAAAAATATAGCATTTTACGTCACAGAATATTATTTTAAACTTCTATTTTAAACCTTTTTTTACATTCATTTTAAATTATATTCGAAATGTTAGAAATGATATTTAGCAAGTTTAAAATGATACTCAATAACGTATACTATATGTTTTAACATTATACTGCATTTTACATTATCCCTGTTCTGATAAATATATGCTTTAGACCTAAGATGGCAAAATTAATGAGTGAGTCGGACTTTCTGATATTAAATAATAGAACCCATTAAAAAAATATATTCCATATAATAAATTATTATCATTATACCTCGTCACCGCTCGATTAAAATAGTTACAAATTTCATATTAATATTATTAAGCATTAGTGTCCAAATTGCATAACTAATTTTCGTGAACCAAATTTCGGAATATTTTTAAACTATTTAAAATATATAAATTTGGAGTTTATCAATGTCAAAACATAAAACTTATGAAGCCCAAAAAATGCAATGCTCAAGATATAATTTAATAGGTTAAAATGATTATTTTCATAAATAATTTATATTATATTTTAAATAGAAATACAAATTTATCCATAAAAAATAATCATGATTCTCAGGAAAATTAGATATTTTAAATGATACTACAAATGGGAATGGTACTTCTTTCCTATCAAGCCGATTCTAATATTCAACAAGACAAAAAAGAGAAAATTAAATATTCTTTGAAAGTAGGATTAGAAATAAAATAACAGGATTAAATCTTAAAACCTTATATTATTTACCAAAATTAAATTTAACAGCAATCTATTTTGATATATTGATTAGTATAGTTGGGTGATTACTATATTTTTAGGTGTTTAAGCCAATTTATTTAGGGGTTTTTCTTAAAATGATATCTGATCAAATTTGGAAGAAACTAATAGATTTTCTCCGGTAAGCGCCTGAAAATTAAACCGAATTAGCCGACATTTAGCCATTACTCAACTATAATTATTAGTCATACAACATAATTTTCACCTAAATTTAGTTTGTATAATTATAATAATATATAAGTCATAACAATTTTTGGTATAAAAATTTATATAAAATATTTTGTAATTTTTTATAAAATTTTATCTAGATAAAAAATTTTTATACACATAACATTTGTATAAACATGTGAGGTTATATTATGGCAAAATAGGCTTTTAAACATTTCAAATTAAAAATTATTATTTAGGTATAGTTTATTATTCGAAACATCTTTTAATAAATTATGTAGAACTATAATTTCTTTAACGAGACCATTTTTTGTAGTTTCAGGTGAGTGTGTGCAGCTTTCAAATTTACAAATAAACTTCCAAAGCAATGCTTAATTTTTACCTTATTTAGAACCCCTCATTGCATAAGCCATTTGCCTAAATGTTTTTTCTAATATTTTATATCTAATAATGAAAGGTTGTCTTTTTGAGCTTTAACAATGTGTTAGTCAGAAATTCATTTGGCAAAAAATTTTTATGAAGGCATCTTTATAAATAAATTTTCTTTGTCACCTTTCTCGTTATTAATTCTTATTCTTCTAATAATAAGTTATGCTATTAAAAAAAATATTTCATTAAAGACAATTAATTCGTTAAATTCAAATCCAAAATTCGTTTAGGAAGTTTGGACAATCGCCACTAAATTGGTAACTGATTTAATCGAGCTAGGACGAGATAATAAAATAGAATAGTTTTAACCTTTTTTTTTAAACCAAAACACTTTTTGTAACCATAAATTTATATTCCGATAGATTTTAAAAAGTTTTCAATACAAAAGATAACATTTTTTTAAAAAAACGTTCCTTTTTGGGAGAAAAATTTGTCATATCTCACCACCCTATTGAATATAAGATAATGTACACCAGAAAACTTTGGGTTAGAATATATTTTGTAAAAAGTATCACAAAAGATAAGAATTTATTCGAATCTATAAATTTGCGAAGAACAACTATTTAATTCTGATTTTATTTATTATAGTTGGCTACATCTTATGTGCTAAAGAATCACTTTTTTAATATATAATACATATTTATTTAGGGGGTGTTCAAAAAATACCATAGGCTTACTCAAATAAAATTTATGGTAGTGTTAAGCCCAATTTTGCTGTCTTAACACCAATGGTAATTGTCCTTAATAATAAAAAAATGCCAATATTTTGTATCAATATATAGCCAATATCCCAAAATAATAAACCTTCATAAATTAAAAAAAACATAGCCTATATTGAGCCATAAACTAGTTTAAAAAAATTGATCTACAAATTATTTTAAGCTGCTAAGAGAAAGAAGTGATGCTACCCCCCCCCCTTTCCCACACATTTCTTTCCACTTTGAAAAATTTATCATATAAATATATTGATGAATTATATATCATATACATTGTTATATAATAACAATATAATTTTTTGCCATCAGGTAAAGTATTGGTGGTATCGGTGCATCTAGAGTTTTTTGTTAAAATTATCAATATAAAAAAACTTTATTTACTCATTATTTAACAAAAACACTCCTTTTTATATAAAACATAATTATTTAGCAAAAAGAATGAATTTTTATACCATGTTTTGTTAAATACAAACGCGTTTTTTTGTAATAATGTTTTAATAAAATGAAAAACATGTAATCAAAAAACGAGTTTGAAACATAATATTTACATCCAGGTTTAACACCTCGACAAAAGTTTAAACAATTTATTTGATCGCTGTTCTCCGAGGTGAGTGTGGGCTTAAATCCCTTTATCAGCTATAGGCTTATTTAGTTTTACTTCTAACGTCTGCCTCATTAAATATTTTTAATAAAAAAAATTCTTTTTCTCTTTTGTCATGAAAAATAGGTTACAAATTGAATTTTCGTTTGTCTGTTTTTTAAAAAGGTTTTATTTTATAATAAAAAAAATCTGGGTATATTTAACCTGGTAGTAATATAAAATGCTATAAAAACGTCGATAGAATAGTGTTCGTGGGCGGCTAGAATAAAAAATATTCCGAAAAGATTGAGAACCCAAGAAAACGTGTGCACTAAGTAGAATGATCTAGGCGTATCTGGAAAAGCGAATTAAAAATTGTGTAAATGTATTTTTGAATAGCCTTTTTATTAATTAGCTTTAGTTATATCTTCAAAACGTTTCAATAATTACTAATTATAATGATCAAGTTATTTATTATTTAGCTAATTCATTAGCGTAACCAATGGGAAGCGGGGAATAGCAAATTTTCCAATTTTCGTAAAAATCATTCTAAGCTGACACCTAGACTCCCCCTTCTCCCCAAACATGACATTATGATTATAAATGATATTTCAATTTTTTTAAAATATGGCTATATAATAATTAGAATTTTTGAGGCAAAATAATTGGGCCCCATTTAGTACTTTTGGCAATATAATTTTTTAATCAATTTATTTTTATATTTAAAAACACATTGATGCTTTTTGGACTCGTTAATTTAAAAAACCATATTTATTATTGCGTAATTTATCATAAACTTGCTAAAATCATTATCTTATATAAAACACAGGTTAAAAAAATAGTTATTTTAAGCGCCAAAATTTTAATATTTCATTACATATAAATCAAAGTTATCGCTAGTATCTAATGTTTGGCAAAATTTTTTTATTAAATATATTTGATCATTATGAAGAAAATGCTAATTGGCAACATTTAAATTTTCTCACGCAATTTTTCCATAATAAAAATTTTATGAAATATTGGAAATATTATATTATAAAAAGTATTGAATATATGTTATTTTCCATTTAGGAAGCTACTTTAAATTTAAGCATTACATTTGTTCAAAACCCCATAAATTAAGAAATTTTCGCTTATGTGGATCATCTGGAATTATATATGATTTCGAGATATATTTGGGAAAATCCACAAATATAATGAAAATTTAGCTGGGAATTAACAGAGGTAGAGTTCCATTAAAAACTATTCCCCCATATAAAAATCATAAAATTTATATGAATAATTTTTTTTCTTATAATTTAACAGTCGCTCTCAAATATAAAACTATCAAGTTGGGAACCCTATTTTATCGATTATCGGCCTGCTATCTCAAAATTTAAAAAAAGATGTCCTTTGAGTAAGGTTGATTATAATATTATAATTTGCAAAGTTAGATAAAAAATCGGTTATCCCCATATCAGATATCAAGCCCAAATCACGAGCGAAAGAGTATAACGGTGGTATTATAGGCGCGGTGGTTTCCGAGAAATGTAGATTGAACTCTATAGAACTGACATAAAATGAAAACGTTATATGCGAATTTTCTTCCATTTATTAGATTCCTATGTAATGACTTCATGGTTGCTCTATAGACGCCTTATGAAACAGGAAAATAGTAAACATATATACTCTATAGTATTTAAAGGATAGCTAAAAGATTAATGATGGCTGGAAAAGAAAATGATAGAACGTAGACCTGTTTTGGGAATTGAAAAAAAAAGAAGGAATGAATAGTTTTCATCCAATCACAGATAAAAGATATAATATAACCAAACAGGTCAATCAATGGCTGTAAGCAAAGATGCAAGATATGAGCAAATGGTTATTCCAGATTCGAATGCATAAAATGTTAAATATATCTATTAATCGCAATTTATTTCCGAACATTCAAAATAAATATATTTTTTTCCATATGATTGTGCCAATGATTTAAAATAGCGATATTAAATAATTTTATATACATACACTTTATTTAATAAAAAAAACCTTGAAAATGTGTTGGTTAGATCTTTTTTAAGTAAATTTTAAGATTTTATTTTGTTTACAGCGTTATAAAAAGAAACGTGTAAAGCCAACATGATTTTTAAAAATGTAATCTGGCCAAAAGTTAAGGGAGCCTAAAACTATCCTATAAAATTTCTGGTGAAAAAAATTATCCACATGATTTCCCCATTTCCCTTAACAAGATCACTCATAAGGCTGGGCTCAGACTAAGCGAAATTTATTTCATTTTGTGAAATGATATTTGGCAATAGTTGAGAATTTAATGTATTTAGGTTTAACATTATGTTTCATTTTTTTTACATACATAAAATCAGGTTAGTTTAGCTTAGTTCAAGCCAAGCCTAATTCGCTACAAGAAAATATTTTAAGTACCCAATAAAATCTTGAACATTCTCATCTCGCATAGTACTATCTCCTGCATAAATTTAGATTGTTTAAAAAATATATATATATGATAAAATGAACATTCGGTGATGAAAAAGTTGAGCATCGTTAAAATGACTGTGTGTCCACTGAACATGTAGTCGCCACAAGAGTGTATACCTACAAGCGACATCCCGAAACCAGACCAAATTTTTAGGGCTCGAATTATTTTATCCTCCAGAGATGTTTTTATACCAACCTTTAATATTTATAAATAATCATTCAAAAAAGAAGTTGATTTCTAGGTTAAGAATAATTTTTGCAATTTATTCAAAATAAACAACAATAAGTAGAATAGAAATTAAATTTTATTTTTTTTAAAAAAATCACCCAAAAAATTAATTATGTTTATAGAAGGTAAACATAATATTACTTATAATTAATTTAATAGAATTATACGTTAAATTGGGATCCACTTCTGCACCAATTTTTTTAATCGATTATAAAATTTAAAAAATCATTTCAAAAGGTGATTTAATTCTATAAGGTGTCGCTCGTTACCATATTATTCATAACTTAAATGGACATATGCCATATCCTAATATAATTTGTGAATAAATAAATATGTTTTTATAATACTTGGTGACATTCTAAGTGGGACCCGGGCACGGAGAGGGAGGTTATCACCATAGTTACGCAGCGTAGTAAAAACACCGTACCAGTAAGAGCGCAAAGGCGTCTCAATATGATAAACCTTAATATTTAAAAATTATACGAATCAAGATGTGCACCAACGTCATTCTTCTTTTTTTAGCGAGTATAAAATCGCCAAATATATATTTATTAAGGGAAAAATAAAATCTGCAATCATAAATATTATCATCATTTTTATTATAAATGAGTAAATTAAATTAAAACCAAAAAAGAAATTAATTTAAAAAATTCGCAAATAGCACCTTATTAATTTTAAAAAAATTCATAGCTTGTTAATGTAAATAAATATCTTGTTCCCGACTCAAATAATGACATGACACCCTTCCTACCAATTTACATCAAAAAAAATTGTAAAAGTTTAAAATGACCAATGACAATTGTGGTTCCCTTCCGCATTTCGGAAAAAAATAGTTAAATAAAAAAAAAAATTAACAATTATTCACCCAAAAATTACTAGTTAAAAGATTTTTTAAAAAATAAAATTATAAGTAGTCAATCGATCATCATTTTCAATAATGGTTAATTCATACCAATATTTTATTTTTCTTAGAAAATAGTCAAGTATAATAACAAGTCTTAAGGGTATAATTATTATTAGGTTACAATTTTGAAAAATAGAAATTTAATATACTGAGTGTCTTGATAGATTTACATTTTGAAATAATATATCATCTGGTTCACGAGCAAAAATGTCTTTTATTGCCATTATATTAATTAAAATAAAAATTAAAGTGGTTCGCTAATCGATTTTATGGGGCTAGCACTCCAAGGCTGAACCGCTTTTTTGACTCGCGCTCCAAGATTGAGCAATTTTTTCCGGCTCGGGCTCCAAAAAAATCCTACGTCATTTTGGAGTGGGTTTGTGTGGAACGATTTTGCATCATTACATTTAGGGCAAATCCATACTCAAAAAAAATAAGTTTATGAATTTTAGCTTTACCTTCTATAATTGAACATGTCATAAAAAATTAATATTAGATGTTCAAGATAGATTGTCCAAGAAATCATATTGAGGTCCAAAAAATATATTAATGTCCAAAAAATCGAAGAAGTTTGAAAAAGAAGGTCTTTTAAATATTTTCTCATAACACTGTTGTTTTATTAATGACCGTTTTTTGTCATAAATGATAATAATTTTTAACAATAGCGACCAAATGATATATAATCGTAGCGGATATATCAGATCTACACACATAAATCTATGGGTGTAATCATAGATATTCTCAATAAAATGTAATAGGTGTTTACAATATTGAATTGATCATTAATAATCATATATATTTGATGTTTTAATATGTGTATATGTTAGTATCAATGTTTTTTTTCCGTGTTATTTTTACTTTTTACAATTATCATATTATGAACGCGTTTTTTTAAATTTAAAAATCAGATTTTACGGGAAATATATACTATCATGTTTGGAATACCTATCTCATGAATTGCAGGTAATATTTTTCACCTTTATTAATTTTATCTTAGAAAAAATTAATTATATGCTATTCCTTTTGATAACATAATATATCAGCTACTATTAATAAAGTAACAAATGACCTGTTAAAAAATTTGCTGTCAACCTTTGAGCCATTTATAATTTATATAAAAAATATATGAAAAATCTAATATAAATTATATTAAGTTTAAAATATTATGGAAAAATTGTCTGAAATTTATAGGGTAGGTATTCCAAACATGACGGCTTATTTCCGGTAAAATAAGATTTTTAAATTTTTAAAACGCGCTCAAAGAATGATTTAAAGTTGAAAAATAACACATTGCCGGAAAATACACATTTACTATATTTATGATATAAAATTAAAAATTTATTCAGGATATTTCTTAGCGATAGGGCCCTGCGTATTTATAGGGTAGAAATTAAGTTATATCAGCTTGGACAATTGGGTCCTTATGGTGAGGCACAAAGATCACCTAAAAACAAGAGCATAGAAAAAAAAGGAGAAGGAGAGAAGTAGAATGTTGTGTGCTGATGAGTTCATTGCATTTCAAATGTCCTTTTTGTATTATGGATATATATAACCTTTATTGAAAAGAAAATACATTATTGATACATTAAAGAGTTCATTGATATGTAAATGACCTTTTTGTATTATGGTCATACATAACATTTGTTAGGAAAGAAAATATTCATTGACCGGGGTAATAACATTCATTTATAAAAAAAGAAGGAATTACTACCAGAAATGTGAACCTAAACCAGGACCCTCCTGAACCCTCGTATTTTGGCAGAACCCGGACTTTTTTTAAAAGTGGAGGGCCTAAGGGTTCTAGGTGTCATAAAAAATTTTAAAAATAAAAAAATTTTTTAAAAAATAATATAAATTTTTTAAAATTTTATTAACTTTTTTGTGGAATCATTTAGCATTTTTCTTTCAATTTTCTTCCTGGACTTCCTTTATATTTAGATTGATATCATAAATTATTTTCCAGTGTAATAATATTTTATTATGTTAATTTATTAATATGCTATGTTATAGAAATACGTTGATTATTTTGAAAGTGAATTATTTTGTAGTACAAGAAATTTTAATTTAAATGATAATGCACAACACGTTGGTCCTCAATTTGTGTGATGATAGAACGATTATTAAGTTTGAAAGATTTCTGTAATGATTTTATTATAGGAGCATGTGAAGTCATTTTGTCGGAAGATGATTGATGCCAAATAAAGAACCTTACTAATGTATTAGTTCCAAAAATAACAATATTAAGATTACAATCAGAACAAATTATGTTTATTAGATGCCGATTAGATTTAGAAAAATTTACAGTCTTAATACAAAATATTAGAAAACATGAAAATTCGAGAGCAATAATATTTGCAAAATAGTGTTGTATACGCTTCTATATATTTAGACCCTCGATATCAAGTTTTATTGAGTATTGAGCAAAAATAAATAACTAAAGACCATCTTAAGGATTTATGGCATAAGCAAAACTCCATTATTTACAATATATTGGAGGCTACAATATCTATTGGTTGTAGTGATAAAAATATAATGATAGCAACATTGATGATCTTAAAATTTTAATTTTACTATTAGATAGAGAAAAAAATCAAATTATCAACAGATAGAAAGGAGGATCAAAAAATGCCTATTGCATCTTTAATGGTAAAGTTCTCAGAAGTTAAGAGAATATAAGGATATAAATATTTTAAAAATCTGGGAAGAAATTCTTCAATAAATCCAGAATTATATATCTTCTAGAATCTTCATGGCTATACCGGCGACACAAGTACAATAATTATATAAAGATAACTATTTATTTTAGGTAAAAGTAGAACGTGAATTTTTTTGGGTTCATTTGTTCACACTCAAAATTTTAAATTTTTTATCTTGGTATCATATTTCTTTTTTAAATTAATTAAAAAATTTATTTTTGTTTTGCATAATTTTGAATTTGGTTAAAAAGAAATAAAAATTATTATTTGTGTAGTCAAAAATTATGTTTGTACCATGGAAACTAAATCTCGTCTGGTGGACTTCGGCGACTACTACATCCAGTTGACACTAATTCCTAAAAATAATGGACTCAACATTGTTATCAAGAAAAATGGGAGAAAAACAAATCTTTTCATACCATAACAACTAACATTGACATATGCATTGCCAGGTTTATTATATTAAACACTGAAAACATAACTTCTGCTTTCCCTTTATCTTTTGTGGTACAAATCACAATTATATAAAAATAAAGTAGGGACAAAAAAAAATAATACAACGGAAGGGAGGGAGGAAAAAAATATTTATCAAAATATCATCCTTATTGATCAATGACCGACATTAACAATAAAGGTCATTTACAAATCAATGAACTCGTCAATGTATCAATAATGTATTTTCTTTCAATAAAAGTTATGTATGGCCATAATAAAAGGACATTGAACTCATCAGCACACAACATTCTTCTTGTCTCCTCCTTTTTTTTATACTCTTGTTCTTAGATCATCGTTGTGCCTCACCACAAGAACCTCATTGTCCAAGCTGATATAACTTAATTTTGACTCCATATTCTGTATTATGCTCCCTCTTTCATTCTTATTATCGAATAAACGTGTCCATACCTTCATAGGAAACTCTGCCCCTGCTTTTTCACCCAATAATGAAATATCGTTGTCCTTTGGTTTTAAGAAATATAGGGCCCCAGTGTTTGTCTACCTAAAAATAACTCCAAGGGCATAACCCCCTTCTGATTTTGAGAATTAAGGTAATATAATTGAGACTTATAAGCCTCATCTTTATGATTCCCAGCCTTTTTAATCCAATTTTTAATGATTGCTACCATCCTCTCAGCTTGTCCATTCAAGCTAGGATGATACAGTGGAGCAAGAATGTGTTGAGTTTGTGACTCGTCATAAAACTGTTTAAAATTATCAATTATGAAGGCTGGACCCCCATCAGAATCTATTGTATTAGGAAAACCAAATAGGACATATAATTCCCGTAATTTTCAAATAACCATTTTTGTGGTATAACCATGAACCTATGTATATTTTATCCACTTTGAATATAAATCAATCACAATAAGAACAAGACTTACAAATATTTTTTTTTAAATAAGAAAGTTTAAAAAAATTGCAAATACTACATACACTACAATGGGATTCTAATATCAAAATATAATTTTTTCATAAATTTATTTAATACTTTTTTTTATATATATTTTACATGAATTTAACCTGTGTTTATGGAAGATGCAAATGGAGGCTAGTGTGAGTCCTAAGAGTATTCCTATTTGCTCACATATTAAAAAGGCTCCAGGTATAATGGGAATATTATCAAGGAAAATATCAGGAAGTGGGGGATATTTATTGATGTCTGGTACTCTATCATGAACAATGACCATTACAAAGGAAGTTACAAGAAATGAAAGTAGTGTGTAAGCAAAGGCAAGGACTAATTTGAGAATTAAAGCATCTTCATGACATTCATCAAACTGGGAAGAAGATAAATGACGTCGACGATTATTGTGGTTACTATAAGGAGATAAATTAGAGGATGGAGGTCTTTTCAACTTGCGATATTTTGTGTCTGTCTCTTTTATATAGTCAGAATTGTTATTCTTATTTTGGTAGTAAGAGTTTGACAAAGTTGAATTTTGAAAATTTTCACAAACAGAATCATGGCATTGAGTTTGCGGACTTTTATGTTTGTTACTAAGGTGATTGGTCAATGTAGATTTAAGGTTTGGATATAAACTTGAAGAAATATAATTACTTGAGTATTTGTAATCAGTGTTATTTGATAGCTCTATAAAAATGTTATTTTTATATGGAAGTTGATCATAAAAAATTTTGGAGCCATTAATGTATTTTCCACCTTTCATTTCATCCTTATTTGTCATAAGATCATCATTTAATAATTTATATTTTTTAGATTGTAATGTATTTTGAGTGCTATTTACATTTGTGGTTTTAATATTATATTTATCATAATAAACAGGAATTTCAGGGGAATAGGCAGAATATGTATTGTCAATATAACTTTTTCTTACTGAGCTATCATTCATTTCTTTTATAGAAGTGTTACTTATATTTTTATTGTCAATATTCAAGGATGATGTTCCAAAATCTTTAATTAATATGTTATTTTTGTCTATATGCAATGGCTCAATAATATTTTCAGAAAAATTGGGAAAAAGTTCTTTAGAATTGTTTAATTCATTTTCTCTAGTTTTATATATGATAGAATCATTATGTAAATCTAATAAAGGATATATAAAATGAGTATTTAGATATTTTTTATTATAATTTCTATTTAGGTTTAATTTTTTTTTATGGAGATTTCTATATTTACCTATTTGGTTATTTAGTAGAGCTCTTTTGTTTTTAATGCTTCTTGTATTTTTACAGTTTAAATTATTTATTAAATTTCTTATTAAAAATATTAAACTTTTTATATCTCCTAAACAATTCATTTTCAATGGGTAATTTTTTAAATCCTTTTCATTTAAAGACAATAGTACTTTTCCATTAATTTTGTGCTTGCAAAATAAATCAACATATTCGTCAAACCCGTTGTAACTTAGCCAATATAAAACATCTGAAATAGCCCATTTGGATATGTTTAATATATGTTCTTTATCCTTCAATCTCATCATTCACACTTTATTGATTGAAAATCCTATAAAAACAAAATAACGTATATACTGTCATTTATCAAATTTTCGTCAGTTCTGACATTTGATAACCCGAATAAGAGATATACCATTATATTAATTTTACTATATCAATTATTGATAATTCATTATGATTTTATTTTTCTTGAATCATTTAAACTTTTGAATTTGTTAAGTCATACCAAATTAATTTTATATAAAATTAAATTTAATATAATAAAATATTTTATAAATTGTCATTTATTATTATTATATACGTATGTATAAACAATTAATTACATTATTCATATATAGCATGCTTTTAGAGCCTATTTGTGTATTTTATATTATTTAATCACAATTACTATTATAAAGGCGAAGTTTATATATATGAGAAACTAGTAGCATTAGAAAATCCACTTGATGTTTTTTTGCAACAAATAAAATACTAATTACCTTCTCTATTTTATAAAAATATCCTTAAATAGTTGAATAGTTGTTTAGATAAACTAAACCTGGTTGGTCATACAAAACTTGGGAACTTAAATAAAAAATGACTGTTATTAAAATTTATAATAGATAAAAATAAATTATCTCTTTAACCCATTAATGATCACACTTTTTCCAGCCTATAAAAATTCTTGATTTTTTTAAATTTTATTTATTTTAGTCTAACTAAGAAATCATAAAAAAATCGGCATGAAAAAATCATCCTAAATAGGAAATCTGAACCGTTGCATACCTGCAACGTTAATCATTAGAGGCATAGGCGCAGCCAGGATTTTCCTAAGGGGGGAATTACTGGGGCTTCGTCCCCAGACCCCCTTTTGGGAGGGCCTTCGGCCCGCTTTTGCCTGGCCTTTGGCTGGGTTATCTTACTCTATATATAGTCATGAAATATTTTTACAAATTTTAATAAAAAAAATAAGCCTGGAACAAATATGAAATATATTTTTATTAGTTTATATAAAATATAATAAATTACTTGTATATACATTTATATAAAAAGCATGGTAATAATTTATTCCAAAAAATTATAAGAAATTTATTTATAAAAAGTAAGTAGACATATATTTGATATTCCTCTATTATATAGAAATAGCAAAATACTAGGTAAATTTCCACTTTTACAGCATATTTGACAGTTAGAGAATATATTAGAGTTAATAATTTAACAAATTTAATCAATGCTATTGATAATAAATATGGTATCACGTCAATTTGGCGCGGAAAATTCGGCGCACGACAATTCGGCGCATAAAATTTGGCGCGGCGACAATTCAGCGCGTTTCTATTACAGTTGCAATTTATTATATATTACTTAGTGTAAAAAAAATAAGGATGATTAAATAGAAATCATTTTGAATTTTGGTCCTATTAATTATTTCTCCATATTTATTTTTACAAAAATCTCAATTTTATTTACTAAATGTATATCGAAAAAAATTAACTAATATTTATATCTATTTTTTTAATGGACCACCACATTATAAGGTATGTTGATTAGTAGCCAATATTATGTAAGCCTATAGATTTTGCGCATAGAAGGAAAAAAGAAAAAAAAAGATTTGACCTCTATCTCTATTCTTATATATTATTTTGGCTAAAATCTTAATCAACCGATTTAAAAATAGACCCAAAATACCTCCCTGATAAGTACTATAATGTTAAATATTAAATCCCCTTTTCACGCCTAATTTTAAATTGAAAAAAATAAATAAAATTATAAAAGTTTAAAAAAATAATATACCCCCATGATAAGTAATATGCCCAAAATCTCAGCTTACAACATTGTCTACTAATCAACATACCTTATGTGATAAATTGGTCAACCAAAAAAATAGGTTAAAATATTGGTTGTTAATTTTTTTTGATATTACACATTTAATTTTTGATTTATATTATAGAAAAAATTAGCCTAAGCAAAATATTTTTTTAAAAAAGGATTAATAGAATTTAAGGATTTTTAATAAATCTAAAAAGTGTGTCAGTCTTAATTTAATTTTATTTGGACCATGGCTGGGTCTATTTTAAAAACGGTCGATTTAAATTCCAGCCAAAATAATATGTAAGATTCGAGATAGAGGTCCAAACCTTTCTATTTCCTTCTTTCTTCAAAATCTCGGCTTACATAACATTGGTTATTAATCAACATATCTTATGTGGTAAATTGGTCAACCAAAGAAATAGGTATAAATATTGGTTGTTAATTTTTTTTGATATCTCACATTTAGTAAATAAAATTGAGATTTTTGTAAAAATAAATATGGAGAAATAATTAATAGGACCAAAATTCAAAATGATTTCTATTTAATCATCCTTATTTTTTTATACTAAGTAATATATAATAAATTGCAACTGTAATAGAAACGCGCTGAATTGTCGCCGCGTCGAATTTTATGCGCCGAATTGTCGTGCGCCGAATTTTCCGCGCCAAATTGACGTGATACCATATTTATTATCAATAGCATTGATTAAATTTGTTAAATTATTAACTCTAATATATTCTCTAAGTCAAATATGCTGTAAAAGTGGAAATTTACCTAGTATTTTGTAGCTATTTCTATATAATAGAGGAATATCAAATATATGTCTACTTACTTTTTATAAATAAATTTCTTATAATTGTTTGGAATAAATTATTACCATGCTTTTATATTAATGTATATACAAGTAATTTATTATATTTTATATAAACTAATAAAAATATATTTCATATTTGTTCCAGGCTTATTTTTTTTATTAAAATTTGTAAAAATATTTCATGACTATATATAGACTAAGATAACCCAGCCAAAGGCCGGGCAAAAAAGGGCCGAAGGCCCGCCCAAAAGGGGGTCTGGGGACGAAGCCCCAGTAATTTTTTAATTCCCCCCCCCCCTTAGAAATAAAATTGAGATTTTTGTAAAAATAAATATGGATAAATAATTAACAGGACCAACATTCAAAATGATTTCTATTTAATCATCCTTATTTTTTTATACTAAGTAATATATAATAAATTGCAACTGTAATAGATACGCGCTGAATCGCCGCGCTGAATTATCGCCGCGCTGAATTGTCGCCGCGCCTAATTGACGTGGAATAAATAAATATAGCAACAATTTGCATTTATTTAACGCCATCTTTTTATTTTAAGTAAAAAATGATAATAAAATTTAATCTTCATATTATTTATCTCACAATGTCTTTAAAATATATTTTCTGATGTCCTTATCAATATTTTATAGTTTTCTGTAAAATATATAATTCGCTATATTGGTAAAAATTACTTGATTGTCATATTATAATTGATAAAATTAGATATACTGTAAATCTACGACATATAATATTACACTGTTTGTATGCTTTAATATTTTTATTTAATTTATGATTAAATTTTATCAATAGTTTTATAATTATATTTAACTTTTATTAGAATAAATTAATTAAAATTACTCACTTTATAAAAAATTATATTTGATATATTTTATTATTTAGTAATTTTATGGATCTATTATTAATAATTATAATACTTTTCACTTTTGTCTTAAGACTTATCTTTGGCTTATATTCCATTTATTAGAAAACATTTTTGGTTCATTTTATATATTTATAAATTTATTTTCCCAAAAAAATATATAAATAATGATGAATAGTTTTATAAAAAAAATATCAACTTTTACATCCTTTCTTTCAAATTATTGTTTAAGATATATGCATACATTTTTGAGGGTCAGGAAGTGGGGAGAGGACTAAGGGGGATATTTTTTATTAGCTAAAAATGATATTTACAAAAAGTGATAAATTTCTGAAGGGGGGGGATTTCCCCTTGCCCCCCCCCCTGGCTACGCCTATGATTAGAGGTATAAAAATAAGTTAAAACTATATTTTTGCGAAACATCAAAATACGATAGATAATTAATTTATTTTTATATTTTTAATATATAAATATGTAATTTTTATATTTTATGAAATTTTTTTAAAAAATCAACATGCATTGGTATATATCTTGTTTGACAATGACAAAGCTTACAACGTCGCCTTTTGTTATCAATAATAGTTGCAACATAATGACCGTAAAAATTTTCAGGTTTTTCACTTAGTGAGGGAAATTGACTAGGATGACCTCTACTTGTACTGATCTTTTTATTTACCATGGAAGTTTTCCAAAGTGTCGTAGTTATTTCACTCCGAAATATTAGAAATAATTTTTTTATCATCAGGATTCACTCGATTCCATAACTTCAATGAATTTACTACTGCTATGTCAATAAAATTGCTAAAAATAGGACATCACCATTTTTTACCTAGTATACTTATTTTTATGTTGACACTAGGTTAACTCACAAATCAACGCGACCCATTTTGGAATTATATGAATTTATAATGTTAGGATGTGTAATTTTTATTTTTGAGAAAATAATTTAAGAGAATCTTGATACGTTACATAAATGGATAGGAGGTTTACATGTTGTTGCAAATGTCACCACTAGTGTTGTTAAACGGCTCATTTTGAGCCGATTTTTAAAAACGGCTAGCTCAATATTTTATTAGGAAATATATTAGGCAAGCCTTAACATTTTGCTCATAGGTGGCACTTTTCAAGTCTATTTTTATAGTCCCAGGTGCGAAAAATCCAAAATGTTTTAAATGCAATAAAAGCTTTAGAGATGTAAAAAAATTATCGAAGTAAATAGAATGAAAAGAAGGTACTTGTACAACTTTGAATTTTGTAATCGTACCTCTTAACCCAAGATTCGAAGCCATTGGACTTTTATTTTTACCTTGATATTTATATTAAATGCAAATATATATTCATCGAAAGAAACAAGGGCTTATGATTTATATCCAAATTTTTACAGGAATATCTTTCTCGATACGATATTATTTGCTCATATGCAAATTATGTAAAAATATACCGAATAGTTAAAACTTTTTAGTTAGTAAATTATAATATGGGCGAACTTTATAAAGATTAACCTCTTCATTAAGAGGTGAGTTACTAGATAAATGTAGATTCCTTTAGATATCGCGAAATGAATGTTG